GGGGCGGTGGAGGTTATAGAGATGGGGTTGGAGGAGGTTATAGAGACAGGGTTGACTGGGAAGTCATTGTTATCTACAGCATATAAGTGGGAAAACAATCCAGTTGTTTGTGATAGGCTTATATCCCAAGCCCAATCAATAAGTAATACTGTAGTAATGAGTAATATTAAAACTGTGCTTCCTCTGCCGAGATTGAAAGTCTTGGAGAATTATACTAGGGAAAAATGCTACCTTAATCCTGGAATTGTGGCACACAATGAGAGTGGAAAACATACAGTAAATTCTCCCAAACAGTGATGTGACAAGCACCAGATAATCTGTTTTACAGAGGCTGATTGAGAGATTGGCCAAGAAACTAGGTACAAGCCATTGCTCTTAGAAACATAGAAAATAGGAGCAGGAGGAGGCCATTCAGCCCTTCAAGGCTGCTCTGCCATTCAATATGATCATGGCTGATCATTTAACTTCCTGTTCCTGATTCCTCCCCATACCCTTTGATCTCTTTAGCCTAAGAACTATATCTAACTCATTCTTGAAAACATTCAATGTATTGGCCTCAACTGCTTTCTGTGACAGAGAATTCCACAGGCACCCCACTCTCTGGGTGAAGAAATGTCTCCTCATCTCAGTCTTAAATGATCTATTCTTAAAGTTACAGTCATAGAGACATACAGCACGGAAACAGGGCAAGTGACCTCAGAGGCTTAAAGTAATCCATTTTAAATTCTTCACAACAGAAACCGCCGTGTATAAATTGCAAGAAGGTTACAAAATCTCGTTCCCGGTGAGAACGAACTACATGTATGCGCGAATGAAGCAAAGCCTGCCAGAGCTGTACACACTGACTGTGTGCCTGTGGCTGAAGTCTAAGGACACTGTGGGAATTGGAACCCCATTCTCATACGCAGTTCCTGGACAAGCAAATGAACTGGTTTTACTTGAGTGGGGCAAGAATCCTATTGAACTGCTGATCAATGACAAAGTAAGTGTTCATTTCTTTGGTAATTGGGTTAATTGATTAAAGGCTGCAGTTGACAGACAGTCTGAGCTGAGCCACTGCTCGGGTACAATTGATCTGAACTTTGTTGACTCACCAGGGAGAAGCAAACAATGATTTATGCTCCTGAAATTAACTTTTCACAATATCATGTGATAATTACAAGTGAATTAGACCATCTGATCCATCCTACTTCATCTACCTCAAGAAAATCACGTTTAGATTTCTGAGTGTTGGGGATATTGATGTATATTTATTGGGGTGATGGCTACTTATTGGCGAGATTGCAGTGTGTTGAAGAGGTTTCCATCTGTTGGAGGGGTATTGTTTATGAAGCGATTGCTATATATTGGGGTGTTCATGTTTATTGAGGATATCGATGTTTAGTAGGAATTATAAAAGCAAAACACTATGGATGCTGAAGATATGAAATAAAACCAGAGAGTGCTGGAAAAGCTAGCAGCATCTATGGAGAAACAGAATTAACATTGTCAGTCTAATGTGACTCTTACTCAGAACTGGAAAGCGCTGGAAAGTGGTGGTTTCTCTACTGTGAGGGACAGTGGGTGAGGAAGAGCAAGTGGAACACATTTGTGGGGCAAAACATTAAAGGGCATTAATGAAGGTGAAGGAAAGATAGAGATGTAAAATGGGTGTAAACGAATGGATGAAAAGGAAAAGATGGATCCACTTTCCTAGGAGCAAAGCCAGCAAGAGCCAAACAAGAAACTGCTGGGTGAGGGTGGGAGCATGTAAGGAAAGTGGAGGACCAAAGTTAGGCTCTGTAGTTGTGGAATTCAACATTGAGTTCTAAAGGCTGTAAAGTGTCCAAGCAAAAAAGGATGTTTTGTTTCTCCAGTTCATTCAGGAGGTTTTGTAAGTGAAGTGGGTAATATCCTTGCCTCTGAGCCAGGTTCCAGTCCCCCTCTAGGATTAAATGACCAAGGAAGTTGCATTCACAATGTGGTCAAACAGTTCGAGAACCAGCCTGTAACCACCAAAGACCAGGGAGTGAGAATGGAAGAAATTCCTGGTCAGATATGCTCAGGCATCCCTCAAGCTTTGGGCTCTGGCAACCTGTTCTGGGAAACCTAGCCATGGAAATATATAGAAGCACATGCTTTGTCTACCTCTAAAGTTACTAGACATGTGAAGTGTAGAAGGAGACCTCTATGGGGAGATTTTTGTTTACTGGAGCAATTTCTGCACTTGAGCAAAGAAGGGTACAATAATTGTTGTGTTTGTAGGTGACACGCCTCCCGTTGGAGATTAAAGATGGACAATGGCATCACGTGTGCATTACTTGGACAACCAGGGATGGTGTGTGGGAGGTGTACCAAGATGGCAAGTGGCAAGGATCGGGGGATAATCTGGCTCCTTGGCATCCGATCAAACCTGGCGGGACTTTAGTTCTTGGCCAGGAGCAGGTGGGTACCAGGAAGCTCCTCAATACCCCAGCACCAAGGGTGTCAATGGTAGAGTGACAAGTTTTGGATGAGTGACATGATGTCTCCAGTTTTCCACATTATTGCCTGTTATTGACTCTCTTCTGACCTGCACAGTAGCTCGGTTTGACCAATGTCACACCTGTGAATGGAAAATCTCAGCCACTTACAGCAGGACTGAGATTTGCAAACTTCAACTGAGATTATGAGCACCCAGACATTAATAAATCAGTCAATCCCAGCTTACCTTTTCTCCAATAACCAACATCACATACTGATCATTGTTACCACCTAGTGAAGATTTACTATTAGGAAAAAAACAGCTAAATTAGCTAACTACAGACCACCAACATTTCACATAGAAAGGTTCAACACAGTCATTGGTATAAACAGTAAATCCTCAAAACTACCAAAACAATAGTGACACTCAGCAACTCTTCCATCCCCTGCAGTTCCTTACCCCTCCTCTACCTCCTTCTGCCTACTTCCTCCTCCCCTTCTCACCCCTTCCTCCCATACCTCCTTCTCCTCTCTTCAAGTTATCCTCCCTTACTTCCCATTCACTTTCCAATCCCCTCCTCCCATCTCCTAACAACTTCCCTTTCCCACAGCCTTTCATCTACCCACCCCTTCCTTACCTTGCCCCCTCTCTTTCCTCTCTCTCCCCACCTCCTCCATCCTTTCCCTCAGTGTGTGAACAAGTACATTCCAAAAGTAAGACATTTTGCACAGTTAATCTAATTACTGGAACCTGAAGGGGCTGAATGGCCTGCTGTTTCCCTTGATGTTATGTGATGTGCAAAGTCCTTTTCTTGGCTTTAGACTGAGCCACACCTGGAACCTTGCAGTGCTGTTGGTCAAAGTCCCACTGCTCTGTGTTACACTGCTCCAACTAACTATCCCATGCTCTGTGTCTCTATTCCATGTCAAACTGGTCAAGATGTTGATATGAATGCATTTTTGTTCCGTTTTGCAGGATGTGGCCGGGGGAAGTTTCGATGCGACACAAGCTTTTGTTGGCGAGTTGGCAGAATTCAACGTATGGGACCGGATTCTGACTCCAATGGAGATCCAGAACATTGCCAACTGCTCCACCAGCACCGTGGGCAACATCATCTCATGGGAGGGCAGCAGTACCGAGCTGTTTGGGGGGGCCACAAAGTGGCCTTTCCAGAGATGCAGCGAGAATAAAGACTCAGAGCAGGATTAACAGTTGGTCCCTGGCCTGCACTTCACTGAGCCAGACATGGACCAAGCCAGCTTTCTACAATCTTTGTCATTCCTTCAATTTGCAACAGGCACCTACAGGGGACAGAGCAGCCAGTGACCCTGGGGGCTGAATTCGTCGCTAAATGGCTGTGAAATCGTTGTTCAGTGCTAACAGGAATTCTGTTTTAAAAAAAACCCCTAAATTGGCAACATTAAGAGTGAAATGGCCAATATCCCAGGAAGCTCAACCCAAAGCCCAGAGACATCGACACTTTCCTGATTATGTTTATACATGTATGATTTCCCTCCTTGGGGCTCAGGATGAATGTCCTGAGTATTTGATCTGAAAATGAGCCTTTGTGGGTGCCATTGCAGCATGGTAGACCATTCCAGTGTAGATAGCAGCAGAGCTAGCTCCTGTATGGATCTTTCGGTTTGGGGAAGTGATAATGGATGAGATTTCCCCTGGGTATCCTGATGCCAGATGTGACTCTCACTCTCTGAATCAGGTCATTCTCTGATCCTTTCACCAGTTCTTTTTTGTTATAAGGAAATTTTCTATTTCTGGTTTGTCAGTAATTCATAGCCAGGTGGAATCTCCCTGCCTCCTCCCCTTTAGCTGATCTCATGATCCTGCACAGTTGACCTTTCTGCTTTTGCCCTCTTTCTGGGGTAGCTGGGGTCTCTGACCAGCCCAGGACACAGTCACTTCTGGTACTCCCAATCCTTGTTGTCGTCAATCCTCTGATAGATTCTGGACTGATCCAGGAGTGTCTGATCCCTGCTCCTGCCGAAAGTTCCCCTCAATAGCCAAAGTTAATCCCCAGCCCTCACTGTGTGCACTTCACTCTGTCCCCTTTGGTTCCCAATGTTTCAGGAAATTGTTCTGTCGTTTCAAACGTTGATGTTAAATGGCCAACACTGTGGAATATTAGTGACCTATGACTCCAGCTGGGGCCAATAAAACAGGTAGAAGAATGATAAAGTACTTCAGGTTCTGGAGATCTGAAATAAAAACTGGAAGAACTGGAGAAACTCAGCAAATCTTGGCAGCATATGTGTGGAGACAAACAAAGTTAACATTTTGAGTCTGATTAATCTCTTCTTTGGAACCGTTGCTGCTAGATCTGACAAGTTTTCCAGCAAGTTCAGTTTTTATTCCAATAAAACAGGGTTACATGTAAGCTGTCGAAACCAGCCAGGACCCATCGCTGTATAGGTCTGGGGATATACCGAGAATAGGATGGAGGAGGTGGTCACTATCACTGCGATTTATCACTGGCTTGTTTTCTGTGGCCTTTATTTTTGCTGATGTCACAATTGTTGCCAAAGTTTTAACAGTTGCAAATGTTTAAGTCATGTTTGGTTTGAACAGCTGTGAGGTGTGGTGGAGCAGCCACATAAATGTCTTGCTCAGAGACTTGATTCCCACGAAGGATTATCTGCCTCATGAACTGGCTGAAGTGGCATCACAACACAGGAGAGTTAGTACAAACACATAAAAATCAGGAGCAGTAGGAGGCCACTCAGCCCCTCGAGCCTGCCCTGTTATTCAATAAGATCATGGCAGAGATAGTAGGAACTGCAGATGCTGGAGAATCTGAGACAGCA